TTATAAAAAAAAAAAAAATGTAAAAAAAAAAAAAAAAAAAAAAAAACTGCAATGGCAGTCCAGTTAATTAGGTAGCTAGTGAGATAGCTACAGCTAATTTACCCACTTTGACAAATCAGTTGTGAAGCCCCAACATCTTAGTACTTGAGTTTGTTAAACAACTTGGTAAAAACAAGTAACACCAAATAAAGTGGTCCTGCTAAAAGGTAACTAGCTTAGCAGAGTAACGGTAAGTAGCAGCTTTATTTAGGTTTTATAGTGAAAATGACAGACTAACAGCCTTTAAGGAGGTGCCCCAGCCACTGCTGTTAAAGAAACTGTTGGGGGGAAAAACATTGATTTTCATGGGCGAACAAATAGCTGTTCCGTTGTCCAGGTAATAGACCTATCCAAATCTAGTTACTTTATAAGGTTATCTCACTAAAACAATCATATAGACCCCAACAGTATCTGAATCTGTGAGTAAACGCCGTATACTTCACTTTGCCCGTCAGTGCTTTGTTGTGGTCGGGCAAGTGGCACAATTGACTTAGGTCCACACAAAAATGCTTACTCTCATTAATGTAATCAATAGTCAATTACCAGTAAAGTAATGTGGGACTTGTGGTCCTATACCCTTTCTCTTCCACCTAGACCCTCTCCACCTGCTGCACTTTTGATTAATGGCCTCAGGGGTTTTCATGTAAATCAGGCAAGTTCGGATTAAATTCATTAACTTTATTGTTTGTGAGGTGGTAATGTGACTTTTCGATGGACTGTTGGTGTGGACAGCCCAAAACCCCTTTAAATCTGAAACAGGCTGAAGTCAAAAGACCTGTTCCTGGTTTTCTTCAGTAAGACCATCCTGATAATGCAACCTACTGCTGAGTTCAGGTGCTGAATGGAACATCAGTTCTGTAACTTGGGTCAGTCAAGGATCATAAAATTCAAGTGTGAGATGATGCTAGTGACTCACCCAGCAGTCCTGAATTTGTTTGATATACACATTTTTAGCAAGATAACTAATAGTATATTCTCAATACTTTAAATATTATTTATTCATTGATCTAAACATTTTATTGAAAGTCATTCGCTTTCAGTGGCCTTGACTGACACCACCTGATCTACATGTACTGGTGCTTCTTAGTTTTAATTAAATCATTGAAAATGCAAAATGGTTAGAACTTTTATTTATTGATGAGTCACAAAACTGGAGGAAAACATGGATGTTAATATGCAGAATTAATGAAACAAAGTGCAAGAACAGTGATTATCAGACATTAAATAGTTTGCATTTTTTTCTGAATCATAGTGACAGGAACAATATTTCATTATTTTCATCCATTTTTTGATAAGTTATAAACAGAGAGTTTAAACAGTTTTAGACACAGTACATAAATATTTTCAACAATGACACTTTAATAACAAACCTGAGCTGAAAGCAGACAGGCACAAGATCAGTTGAAAGGCTATTTTTACAATCCTACAGTAAGATCAATAGTGCAGCGGTGCAGTAGAAAAATAATGTTAATGATTAACAATGATCGCTGTGTATTGGGTAATAAAAGAGAAAATGTCCTAGGCCCAATCCAGGCTGACTGATAACAATAATATTATTCTTAAGGCAACTTGGTTTCCGTTGTGGCATCAATTCAAACTATTTCAAGTGTGAATGCTATCCAAACAACCTTATAATAAAAAGAGATTTTAAAATAACTTGTAATGAAATAAAAGTAAAATGATAGTTTTTCCTGATTGTCTCTGTTTCTCCCACAAAACCATCCATACTGATACCAAAATGTCTAATATTCCTGCAAATCTACAGAGATGTTCTGCATCCTCTCCACCACAAAGAAGCAGAGTGTCCCAGTGAAGCCCAGGATGATCATCGGCAGCATCTGCCACATCAACAGGAGGTAACCGCTGTAGAAGAACGCCACTGCTGCAAAAACAGACTGACAACGGAGAACAGATTTGATTTTGCTGAGTAACACTGATATGTTATTCATATTCTTTGTCAGAACAGCGATTGGCCAATCATAGCTTAGCAACCATAACTATGCTTGGCAGGTCTGAAGCCGTGTTTATATGGTGTTCATGCTGCATTCATAGTCGTATAAAAGAGTTTGGAGGGCCCAATAGAGGCTGGAGGTATTCTCTACAGGTTGCATCCAAACCATCCCAGGGTTATGCTAGAATGTGTAACATTTTAATTCTATTTTTATGTACAATACTGTATTATGCATAAGATGAAAAGACCTATCATCAAATGGCAAATTCTCTTAATTTGACCTATTGACCATGGTTGTTCTAATATACTACATCTAAATTATTGTTCATGTTTTAATATTTAGAAAACATGCAAAGAAAATACCACAATTCTGAGGGTCTGTTTCTGGTTAGGAGACCAATTTTGCAGCAAAGAAAAAAGGAGAGATAAAGAGGCATACATGTGTCTTGTTCTTTTCCTTTTTAATGGGGCTTCAGGTGAATTTATTTCACACTTGACAAGATACCATTTCAACCTAGCTTTGCACAACTCTGCTAACAATGTCTGAGAACTGGCAACTCGGGATTACCTGGATGAATTTGAAGATGGCAAAAGCAGGTGTGCTTTGTTCAGTATAAACACAGCCTAATAGACTGTAGAGCTGTGTGTTGAAACAACTGTCCCCAAGTCCAAGCAAGAAGCTGCACAGCAGGGCAACGGGTACGCTGAGAAAGGAAAAGTACTTATTAAAACAAAAGAGAAGCACAACTGGCCTTTAAAGTATCTGAGAAATTAACTACCTTGGAATTAGATACGGGTTTTTCTGAGTGGTGGTTTTAAAGACGACGGGGGCATCGTCAGGGATGTTGAGGAAGATCAAATAGAACGCAATGAAATGGACAACCATTCCCAGGAACACCACAGAGGTTCGTCTGAAGCCACTGTTCTTACACAACAGTCCGAACAAGCCTCCACCTAATAGGAAAGAACATCCTCTACTTGAACTCCATGAAATAAATCAGCTCAGAAAGGTCCGATTGAGATAAGAAAACATACCCACTATTTCTCCAGCGCCTACCACGATCCCAGAGATACCGATCAATCCTTTGGCTGCTTCTCCAAACTGTGCAGTTGCTCCAACACATGTCCCGTACACTCCACTATAGAAAGCCAGCTCGAGGCCTGGAGAACAAGGAGGAAATGCTGTAGCTACAAGTCCTCACTGGAGGCTAAAGTACTTTTTACATTAGACTTACCGCTGTATGCCATGCACGGACCCAGGAGCAGTAGGCTTTTAGTATTCAGAAGTTGCAGGATAGTGTCTGTGATGGAGGAGACACAATACACAGAGCTGAATTGCTAATAACGATTACTGTATATATCTACGCCTCCATTCCCTCTGGTTTGAGCTCACACAAAGATTCTAATATTAAGCCCTCATTTTCTGTTGACAGTTAAAGTTCATACAAATAGAATATGTGAAAAAGATTCTCTCACTAAACCAGAGGCAGGTGGAAGAGCAGCTTTCACCCCGGAGCTTAGGGAAATTCAGAATTTAAAAGAAGAAATCCCACCAGGTTTGTTTATATATGCCTGGATGCCCTTTCAGCATACATCTATGATGAAATCAGATACCTTTAAAGCAGGTGTACAAGAATCTACGTGCATACAAGATACAGGCAAAGACAAAGAGTAATCTGATCATCCAAACAACTTCAGGCGGCACTGAAGGCAGGTGCAAGCGCAACACAGTTTTCAGTTGACAAGCAGAGATATAATCTGAAATAAACTCTCTCACACAGGCAGTTTCTGTGTAGTCTCTGTTGTAATGCTGGTTTTTTTTATCCACATGATACCGCCCGTCACTGCCCGCTGGTTTCAGACTAAGAGCAGTGAAATGTGGAGAACTAGAGGTTGCCTGCAGAATGTGAAATAATGTGTAAAAACTGTGAAAAGCTGCAAAGGAAAAATATAGTAGTGTGCATTCTTATATTGGCATGGATTCATGGAAATCGATGTCAGTCTGTTGGTCTTTCTGCCACTTTAGTCCAGGCTGAAATATGTCAAGAATACAAGGTGAATTGCCACGAAATTGTTTTATTCAAAAGCATAGATAAAACTTACTGAATTCTGACTTGGCATCTTGCACGGCAGTGTTTGCTCTGTGCTTATACCTAAACATCAGAAAATAAATTAATTACGATTTCCACAAAGAAATAAATCAAGCAGCCTGCAAACACAAACAATGTTTTGGCTTCCTTCAAGTGAAGAACAGGTGAAGTGATTTGCAAATCGAAGAAACTTTAGCTGCATAGAGATCACAGGGCTTCCTGAAAAATCCCAACAGAGAGCAAAACAGCACTTTCTCAGAAAATGATTGCTCCCTGTAGGAATCCTTGTTATGCTGCTGGAGCTATGCACACACTCAAACTACAGCTGATAAAGGAGGGAGAGAATACATGCATCTAGCAGATACCCAAAACAGTTTGCAAACACAATCTGCTACAGACAGAAACAGGATAAGGCAATAAGATTTCCATAAGATCATCTACAGTGGGTACGGAAAGTATTCAGACCCCTTTAAATTTTTCACTCTTTGTTATATTGCAGCCATATGCTAAAATCATTTAAGTTCATTTTTTTCCTCATTAATGTACACACAGCACCC